ACACAGGAAATTGTCCAAAAATTAGACACAGGTGTGGGGACATGGCATAAATGGATCATATCTTTGTTTCTAGAAGATTGTTTCACATGAGCTCTAATGTACACTGGTCTATCTTCAACCTTTCCCTTTAGTGCATTAGATTGTTTCACATGAGCTCTAATGTACACTGGTCGATCATCGACCCCATTAGATTGTTTCACATGAGCTCTAATGGTCACCAAGCCATGATCACGTGCTCTACACAACACCATGTTGGCATTGTGGGAAAAGGAGTGGAGCTAAACTTTATGGTCTTATTCTCTTCTAACAAAGTTATGCACAGCATGATACGATGCAATGTAAAGGATCCACTCCCATTAATCACCCATCCAAATTCGATTACTAGAATAGGGTTGGAGTAAATTTTGGGTTTTATATGATTTTAATCTAAATTCAATCCATGATCCAAATTAAAAATAATAGATGTATTTATAAATTATTGGAATAGAATATACTTCCTCTGTTCTTTAATTATTGCAACAATTGGTTTTTAACACTATTCACACAATACCATTTGACAATCAATTGTGCTTTTTATGCCAGAAAAAATGTAGTCATATAAGGTATTGTTAGATTCATATTGATGTATATTTTCACATTATTAACGTTTTATAATTTTTACTTAGATAATTGAAGATGTTAAAAGTTAGAGTTGTGTGTTGGTATGCGTGAAACTTCAATTGTTGCAATAATTAAAAACAAGAGGAAGTATATACTTATAACCTAACTCATATACCTATAATCTTAAGGACTTGGTATAATTTGCACCCGTTCTTGTTTAACTATACTTTCAAGAATTGGGTATACTTCTTTTTCTTTAGCGAAAAAAGTCATCAACTATTAGGGATATTATGGTAAATTAAGAGTTGAATATTGAATAAGAAACGAAACCAATATATCCCAACTAAAGGTTTGATGACTAGTTAAAAAAAAAAAAAAAAAAAAGTCGGATGACTAAATCCAACTCTAAACATTAAAGGGTTTTTTACTTTCTTTTTGGGATTTAGAGAACTACAATGGCATTGGTCCATCCCAATTATAGGGAATTGCCGAATTGGCTATTGTTTAGCTAGACCACAATGCATGTACATTTAGTGAACATAGAATATTCTCTTTCTTCCAATGTTGGTATGACTAATATCCCAGTAGCACGAAAGCTATAGTGAAGTCAAGAGATACACTAGATAAGGAAAATACTCTACATACACTAAGTATACATATAACTTTGGTCCATGTTAAACTCAAAAGATTCTTAAAGCATGCCATTAGAATCATGCAAGTAGGAAAAAAGCAAAAGAATAGATAATGAGTGAAGATGACCTTCAATTGGTATCGCCAGCCCCATTTCTTAAGAGCCTCCTCCTCAGGAACCGGCTCCCCGACGAAGAAGCAATCCTCCCATCTACCACACACTTTAACTTTCACTTTACTCGCCTTCGGCTCTTCTTTTGGTGCTTTGTTCTTCTTTTTCTTTGCCTTCTTCAAAGAAAATCCAAATTCAAATTCATCACATTCATCATCTACCGCCAAAGAGGACGGCAATCCTCTTGGCGAACGTCTCAAAACCCTATCTTCCTCCATTTATTCCAAATTTTCCGGCGATACTAAGCTCGGAGATTCCGTCCCCAACTCTCCTTCACTCTCCTCACATTCCGCCGATTTTATCAGCTTCAATGGCGCCTTTTTCCCCAATTTCACTTCAATTCCAACTATTTTCTCCGATTTTGAACCCGAAAACCTAGGTGAACGTCTCATCACCTGATCTTCCTTAATTTTCCCCAATTTTTCCGCTATTAATGAGCTCGGAGATTTCACCCCCGAATTTTTATCATCTAATTTACATTCCACCGATTTCACCAGCTTCAATGCTGCTTTCTTCCCTAATTTACCTCCAATTTCAACGACTTCCTCCGGATTCGAAGCTGAAAACCTAGGTGATCGTCTTAACACTTTATCTTCTTCAATTTCCCCCAAATTTCCCGGCAATAGCAACAATCTCGGAGATTCAATCAACTTCAATGGCGTCTTTTTCCCTAATTTCACATCAATTCCATCGCCTGTTTCCGATTTCGAAGCCGAAAACTTCGGCGACCGCCTCACAAACTCTCGATCAACCATAGAATTACGCTTCCTCTTACCACCATTAACAACAGAATCAGAGCTCAAACTCAAAGCTAATTTCCTCGATTCCGAATTTCTCACCGTCTTTCCATTCGATTTCGACAATGTAGAAGCAGAAACACTACAATTCCCAGATTGAACAACACCATTGAACCTCGGTGACCGTCTTACAGGCGAAGAAGACGCAGATTTAAGCAAGAGAAGCTTAGTAGTTTTAGGGTGATAAACTTTGAGAGGTTGAGGAGTGTAATGTGGGTCATTCTGGAATGATCCAAGAACAGGGTCTGATCTAGAATCATGATGCAATGTGAGAGCTAAGTGGTGGGACTGGGATTTGGGATGAGAGAGAAAGAGTCTGGGAGATCTTCTTCTGAGAGATTCATGCATTTTGAAGTTTTTCTGGGGAAGATTTGGAGAAAGGAAGAAGATGAAATGGAGGAGAGAGAGTGAGGGTTTAAGGGGGGAGTTGGAAATTTGAAATGGGTGGTATGGTAAATAGTAAATGGTTTAGGTGAAAGAGAGTGATGAGTGCAGAGATTTTGTCTGCCACTGAACAAGAACAAAGTATGGGAGTTGAGTGCTTTCACAAAAAAAAAAAATTGAGTTGAGGTTGTTTATTTGAGATGAAGGGGTCATTTTCTTTAAAAAAAAAAAAAAATGGTCATTTCCAAGACATTGCTAATGTTTCTCTTAGATAGACAAAAGATGATGAGCTATTAGAGTCTGTTCTATCGAAGCGTTTGGTAAGAGGAATTGGGATAACAAAAATTATTGGGTGGGATAAGGACAAAATAAAGTGTAGGGTAATTAACAAAGTTACTTACTACTCCCTCTATTTTATTTTATTTTAATGCCCCAAAGTGACATAACACGCATGCCGATACAAAATTTTGAATAATAATATTTTTAATTATTATTAACTATAAATTATAACAATTGAATATTAATTATCTACTCATTGAGACAATTCTTACAAGTACCCACAAGACTATATTTTTTCTTATGTATAATTCACAAACATTAGTCAAAGTATGTTTAGTGAATAGTGCTAAAATCCCTGATGGAACACTTAAAAAAACGATGGGAGTAATATACCCCCGACTAATTTTATTCTTTTTTTCATTGAGGGGTTAATAATGTTCTTTCAAATATAGTCTCTAACTCTCTATCCCTCCCCTTTAAGTATAGAATTTGAGAGATAAGAGTTTTTTTTTTTTTATTCTTGTTCCATCCCGCTCTATAATCTCTGTCTCTCTCCTTTTATACCCCTAAACAAACATGTTGCATAAGTACAACAAATTTGTTTGGATTCAGGCCAATTTATACTACAAATTAGTGAAATGTAATCATGACATATGAAAACAAATTATTAAACGCATTGCAAGTACTATACTTACCATTAACTCGTAATAGTTTTTGTGAAATTTATAAACAGGTTCTCCTTTTTGGGAAATACCAAACACAAAACAAGCCTTTCATTCATGATTTCCACAATTTAACACACCTAAAAATATGAGACCATGTGCAATAGGCATGTTTGCACATGATATTGACCGGACATGTTAATGATCAATCTTAATCAATGGGGTTGTTTGGCAATCGGCGGTTGGTTGTTGGCTTATTTGATTAGTTGGAAGTATTAGCTGTATGGATTGATTTTTTTAAGTTAGTTGTTTAAGGCAGCTGTTTACAAAAGTGTTTGGTAAAATTATTAATGGTTGTTAGCTGTTTATTAGTGATGAAGTAGGCCAACAAGCCAAAAGCCAATAGAAAAAACTAATCCTATTAGCTTTTGGCGGAAAAGCCAGCTTAAAAACCTAAAAAAAGCCAACTACCAAACATACTTTTTGGCTGTTTGACTAAATTAAAAAGTCAAAAGTTAGGCAAAAAGCCAATTATCAAACACCCCCAATATCAATATGTTCAAACTATCAAAGAAACACGAGAAAAAAAAAAAAAGAAAAAAAAAGGACTAAAAATGAAATTGTCATTGACAAGCTTTCAACGCCAACTAGTGAGCATGTTCAACCTAACCACGAGAAATCTTGCATATTTAGCAAGCCGAAAATTCAAAAATAGTAGAAAGAATATCCTAAACAAGCCAAACAATGCGTTCAAACTATGACAACTTGTTTGTCTAAAGGGACAAAATGGGAAGGATAGGGATAGGAAGGTAAGGGATATGAAAAATCTTTTGTTTGTTTAAGGGGGTTGGGGATTGTGAAGGGAAGGGGGATAAGGATAAAACTGGCTCTTATCCCTCTAATTTAGTATCTAAGGGGGGTTTTATAAGGGAGAGGGATAAAAATTGATTATAAAAACACTCTTTTAAGCTCCGTTCACTTCACCTTATTTTTGCTGAACTGAAATTACTTTTACTGAACTAAAATTATTTTTGCTGAATTTAAATAAATTTTACTGAACTTAAATTAATTTTACTGAACTGAAATTATTTTTTACTGATTTTCTATTATATTTCTTCTTTAAGTTTACTGATTTTTACTGAATTGAATTTATTTTTACTGAACTTTGTCGAACTGAACTTATTTTTACTGAACTGAAATTAATTTTACTAAATAAAATTATTTTTACTGAATATTTTATTAAGGTGAAGTAAACAGGCCTTACTCTTAATAAAAAGGAAATTTTGACTTTTGGTACCACAAAAACACTCATGTTTCACTTTTGCTACCGCTCAATTTTTTTTATTTTTTTTTTATTTTACTACCACCTAAAATCACATAATTTAAATTTCACTACCACTTAACGGAATTCTAACGGATTCCGTTAAGTTTATTCAAAAATAAAAAAATAAAAAAAATAAATTAAAATGTTAAAAAAAAAAAAAAAAAAAAACCCCAGCCACCCTCAACTGGCCCCCCTCCCGTCAGCCACCCTCCCCCCTTCCGGCGGCCGGCGCTTGGGCGAACGCCGGCGACCCCACCCCAAACACTTTCCCCCACCAACGGACGACGATGATGATGATTGTATGATTGTAGGGGGGTCGATTCGAACAAGGGGAAAATCGAAAAATTTTGACCTCTAATTCGACAAGTTGTGTCGAAATTGATTGAGGGCTTTGTTTTCTTTAGATTTCAATTGCAAAATCATGTAAATAATTGTTATTTTCGTTTTGAAATCAAAGAGTTTGATTCAAAAGTTCTTATAAACCCTAACTTTTTCCCCAAATTGATTTTGAATGAAAATCATCAAATTAATTCAATAAGATTGAAAATTGATACCAAAATCTTGTTTTGGGATTGAATTCGAACATCAAACGCTAGAAACTCCTGATTTTAATTCGAAATTGTTCGAATTTTGGGATGTTTTTGTTCTCATGTTCGTCACGGCACCGTAGGAGGCTGCGTGTAAGGGTTGCGCGCCATTCAAAGGCCGTCGGTGGTTGCGCCGGCACGCGTTTTTCCGGCGATCGTTGAGGCCGCGCGTTGGCTGGAATCAGGCTGCAGCGTGGTGGTGGCTGGAAGCTGTTCATGGCTGCCGCCTGCTGCTGCGAACCTGACTGCTGCACTTGACTTGCTGCTGCGTGGCTGCTGCGTTGGCTGGAGTTTCCTTCTGGCTAAAGTGGGGCCCACAAACGGCAATATTAACGGATTTCGTCAACTGGTAGCAAATTTTAACATATGTGGTTTTAGGTGGTAGCAAAATAAAATAAAATTTTTAAGAGGTAGCAAAAGTGAAACGGTGGTGTTTTAGTGATACCAAAAGTGAAAATTTCCTAATAAAAATGAAAGAATAAAAAGAAAGGATAAAAGTATAAATGGGTATATTAGTAATTTTATTCAATATCTCAATCTTATTCCCTATTCTTTCCAAATAAAGGAAAATAACAAATTTATCCCTATCCCTCTTATTAATTCCTTATACATATCCCAACTTTTAATACTCCTTATTCTATCCCTCGTGAAACGCCCCGTGACTTTAAAGTCTTCAAACTATGAGTTCATAATTGGATAAAGGACACAAAGTGAAACACAAGTTGGGAGACACAATCGCAACAAACATTTAGTTGGCGCTCACAATCCACTGTCGAAAGGAAGAAGAAGACGAAGAAGAGGGACAATGAGCCGTTCTCTCCTCTCTCACCTCTTCGCACTTCCCAACTCCTCTCCTCGCTTCACTTCTTCACTGTATATTCTCTCTCCTCTTTCTGATTCCTTTTCTTTATCTTTCAATTCATTCAATTTGATTTTGTGTTTTTTGGTTGGGGCAGCTCTTATTCGGCAATTTCTGGTCCAATTTTGAAGCGGAATTCTCAATGCACCTTCCGTTGTTGCTCTAGCGCCGTTGTTTCGCATCCTGAAACCTCGTCGCCTTCGCCGCCTCCGCTCAAGTAATCTCCGCCTTCCCTTTATCTATTTGTGATTATGACTTTTACTGCTTTGTTATGGGTGTGTGTTTGATTATTAGAAACTACTTGATCAAATATCATTGAAATTGATTGATTTTGGTGTTCAATTTAGTGCCCATTGCATTTGAAACTTTTTATTACTAAAAGGGTAATGCAGTATTGCAGTTTACATTCAATGTAGTTATAAAAGCATATGTTCCTTTTACCGGTCCCGTTATCGTAACGATGACTTTCAACTAGGATGTTGTAGTGTATGCTGGACTTGATTAATTATATCTAGTGTATATTGAGGAACATCACCGACATCGATATTACTCGAATGCCTTAGAAAAGGTTCCTGCCCACAATATGGTAGAGGGATTAAATTTATGCAACTTCACCCCAATATCCCATATTGTAAAAATGCACCAGTTCCTCTTGACCGACTAATTGTTAAACTGTTATAAAACGGCCATCTATAAATTCAATAAAAATAACTTTGTAATTGTAACAAGTACAGATTGTTGAAATATGAGTTGGTCTGTTGTAATTGAAAGTCGATGAACATTGGAATTTATTTTGGTTTATTAGTGTTGCTCTTTATAGGTTTATGGACCACTCCTGTGGCTTCAATGTTTATATGGTTGGTTTATAGAGTATTGGATTTTAGATTAAGGTCGCATTAATTCATACTTCACCTAATGAACTTGTTGCTCAGCAGGAAGCGAGTTGTCTCTGGAGTCCAGCCAACCGGAGCTCTACATTTAGGGAATTATCTTGGTGCCATAAGAAACTGGGTTTCACTTCAGGTGGGTGTAGTGAATTCCATTTATTCTCTTAACATGGAATATGTTGATAAATTGTTGCTGAATATAGCTGTCTGATAGAACATAATTATATGCCTTTCTTTGATTGAATTCAGCTAATAGGATTCATGGTCTCTATCTGGTAAAGGACCTGATTTAAATATTATTGTGGTTTTGTTGAATAAAACTATATGTCCATAAGGATTGTTTTCCTTCAGGTAGGGCATTAAAAGAATCCAAAACGGTATTGATCTGGTTTTGTATGATAAAAAAATACAATTTGTGTCTTATAAGTGTTTGATATTTCTTCTGTTTCTTGTTTCTTATACAGTCCCACTTCCCAGGGCTACAATTTTTCTTTCTCTTTAATCTATTGCTGAAAGGAATAATATTTTTATTTATTTATTTTTTTTTTTAAATTTTTTTTTATCCTTTGTTTGTTGTTATGGGCTAGCAAACTCTTATTGTTTTACGCCAATAGTCTTTTAAAAAAACAACAGTGCGGCCTGGCTCTTCTGACACTTTTTCCTATTGTTTATTTGCAGGACACCTATGAAACATTTTTCTTCATTGTTGATCTTCATGCGGTATATTTTCAGTATATTTCCTTATTAAAAGGGCAGATGATTAGCATTGCAGGGTGTAGTATATTTCTTGTGTTAAGCATTATTTGTAGGGAAACACATTCCTCATTGATAAGCTATGGATAGCATGCATTTGCCTGACTAGATTTCTCTAGTACATCTATTAATTAACTGAATACAAATTGGATTATGCAATTCAGCTTGTCTTTTCTTTATTGGTGGATATCCTTGGTTCAATATAGAATCAAATATAGTTTTCAAGGTTTGTCATTGTGTGTTGGTTATGAATTTGGATTTACTGCTTGTAATGTTTCCTTCCTTCATGCTGTTTGACCTTCTCTCTAAGGTTTATGTTGATCCTGATTGGGATGAAGCAATATTTTGGCTGTTAATATATAGTTTTAAGGAAATGCTTGCAGCCATGTTTCCTCATTTTGAGCATGCTAACGTCTTCTGTTTCATCTCTCCAAAACTCAACAAGTTTTTATTACATCTCCATTCTATGTTAAGTGATTTAGTTACAAAAAATAAAATAAAATTCTGTTATCATTCATTTTGAAACAAGTGACTTGGTCTTATATCTCTTTGATTAGTTGAAGCCTTGAAGGGTATTCTGGAAATTTCATTTATTTTGAAATGACTCCAAAATATTTGTTCAAAAGTGATTTTTTCACAGAAATTGGGCAGACAAATTGATCCATCCAATATTGTTTCTTTACAAGATTAGATTTCTTTAACGTACAGGTAACGTTGCCTTATGAAACTAAGGATTTATCCAAAGCAACGAAGGATACAGCAGCTATTTACTTGGCATGTGGCGTTGACATTTCGAAGGTGAAAGAAGTAGTTCTAGATGCTAAAACTTTTGATTTAGTGCCCTATCTTTTATCAAGTTAAGAAACAGCTACTCAAACTTGTGGGCGCAGGCTTCAGTTTTTGTACAATCTCATGTCCGAGCACATGCAGAACTTATGTGGTTGCTGAGTTCTACCACACCAATTGGCTGGCTTAATAGAATGATACAATTTAAGGAGAAATCACGTAAAGCGGTATACTTCCTCTTCCAAACTTTCTCTGCTCCCATTTATTGGCATCTAGTGCAAGGTGCTGTATCCTTATGCCCTCATTTTATATAGTTAAACAATCTTGTGAACTAGGATAGTATCGACATTCAGTAAGGTTACGAACTTTGAAACTTTGATACTCCATATAGTACCCTATTGTATGGTTGTGAAAGTATAAAATCCACTGATCCACTTATAATAATGACTCAGGTTTTACACAGTGTTAGCTGCAAGAATATGGTTTCTTAAGTATCTATTTTAAAAGCAACTAGAACTATTTATTTCATGTCTTCTCTGGTAACTGTTTCTCTTAATGACACTGCTACGTTTGCTTGCTTGTGATCTATTTGATTTTTTTCCCCCTGCAGGGTGATGAAAATGTTGGGGTTGCACTTTTGACGTATCCTGTTCTCATGGCTGCTGATATTCTATTATATCAGGTGAGGATTTTATATTACTGTATATATAAAATTTGCCAAGTTGAAGTTCATAATATAGTTTGTCTTCATGTAGAGTTTTTTTGGGCATAACCAATGAAAGTGATTAGATCCATCCTTCAAGTTCCTCGCTAATGGGTTAGATATGCTAGGAGCTTTAACCTCCTACAGTCCTGTTCCTAAAACATGCATATACTAGCTCTTGGAATTGTTATGGAAACATAGAGGAGTCAGGAGGGTACAGTGTACCACACCAGGGCATGGGTGAATAATTTGGGTGATACTGGTTACTAGTTTCTTGAAGTGTGCCTACATTTCATATGGTTTGGGAAACTTTGATCTCAATAAGTTAATTTTCTCTACCGCCTCAGTTATGCTTTATACTGAGTATTGCATTTGTGAATAGTGAACCCTGTGATATATTATGTTAGTTTTCTCAAGTTCTTATTATTTAACTTAGAACTTTAGTGTGTTCTATTAGCCTGAACTGGCATAATTCTTATGCTATGGCAGCCTACCTTTGCAGTCAGATTTTGTACCAGTTGGAGATGACCAGAAGCAACATCTTGAATTGACAAGACAGCTAGCTGAGCGTGTGAATAATTTGTACGGAGGAAGGAAATGGAAGAAAATGGGAGGGTAAACATTTTTTCATGATCACAACATCTTGCTGTGAAGTTTTGTAAATTATCTCTTTTGAGTTGGTTAGTCCATTGACGTCTCACAAATCTTACATATTTTGGATGTAGGAGAGGGGGCTCAATCTTTAAGGTGGATGTTTGGTTAAATTCAAAGCTTCTTACTTCATTTGAAGGTTTTGGTAGTTTATCATGCCATGTTGACATATAATTTTTTTGACCAGATACCTGAACCACTTATTCCACCAACTGGAGCTCGGGTGATGTCTTTGACAGATGGTCTTTCAAAGGTGATTGTTATTTGAGTACAATTAGTCCTCCTGACTAGCTCTATGCTTGATTGCATTTTTTTGAAATTTAATCACAAGTTGTTGGGATTGTGGGCGAGATGTGGCCAATTGCTTATGTCTTGCTGGCTTAAACATCTTTCTGTTCCTTTCTATCTCTTGTTTTCCTTTTCATGAGGGAATGACATCTCCAAATTTTCATAGCATAGATCAAATCAGCAGAGAATAAAGGCATACCATATTGTTTGTAATATACTAGCAAAGTAGCAATATTTTTTCTGTTCTGTCTTTTATTCATCTCAAAGATTCAGGTTTTCTTGTTCCGTAGACAATTATTCTGAAATGATGTTTCGTTTGACTTTATTTGATTGGGTTTTTAAGAGGATCCCCAGAAGCCTCCAAGGGTCCTATTACCTTCTTAATTAACAAGATAGATTCTAAAAGTGTACTTGTGTAGTTGTGATGCATGAACTATTACAAATTTATTTCTTCTGTTAAGAGTTTCTGCATTTTAGTAGTCTGAAAAGTCGCTGTGGTTAGAGAAAGATCCTCCTCTTGTCTTGTTGATGCTATTCATTACATGTTTGGACTATTAATTCTCAACAAGATGTACAATCCATTAATGTTAGAAATGTTTATGTCATTTGTCTTATTGCTGCTGCTTATCTTTACTGGAATGCTGGAGCTTAATTGTTCTAATGAATTGTCTCTCTTCCTATGTAGATGTCTAAATCAGCTCCTTCCGACCAGTCTCGAATTAATCTGTTGGACCCAAAGGATGTGAGTATTGTTTATAATCTTGCCTACTCCGTGTTTGCATGTTTCTTAATATGACTGTCTCAATTGTAGTTGATAATTGCTGTGTTAATATGTTCAGTATTCCTATTCTGTGATACAAATGTAATTAAAAAAAAATATATATATTTTTTTGCTTTTCTTCTTCCCCTGTATTTGAAATTATCCTCTCATTCTCATTTTGACTTAACTCTCGTGTTCATACATGCAGGTTATTGCAAATAAGATCAAACGTTGCAAAACTGATTCATTTACATGGTTTGTTTTTGCTTATACATTAAAAGTTACCCCCCCCCCACCCACCCACCAAAAAAAAAAAAAAAAAAAAGGTTGAAGATGAATGCATTTTAGTGGCTTCTATAATTTTTTTTTTTTAATTCATGATGCAGGCTGGAATTTGACAACCCCGACAGACCTGAATGCAATAACCTTCTCTGCATTTATCAACTTGTATCAGGCAAAACAAAGGAGGTAATACAATATTCAATGGACCATCACAAATCCAAACATATGATATGACATTGGCTCCTTTTTATGCTTGAATGTCCCCTTAGAAAAATTCAAACATAGGCTCCCCGAACTTGGCCAATATTATTAATACGAATAGCAGTGTATAAAGAGGATGAGGAGTTAAAAGGTTACAGACATCAGCCTAAAATGTACCGTGGACCATATTTGTCGCTTAGGCAGAGGTTTTGGCTGGTGTTCTATCCATAAGGTGCAGTGGGAAAAAATCCAACCAGCACACGATCTCGCAACTGTTGCTAACTTTAGTTTATCTTCATTTAATAATGTCTAGTAATATTGTTGGTTAAGCTTGAGGATGAAAGACTGCTACCTAGGGCAGGGTAAGGGGATTTCAGATGTACTAAGTTTTCATTAGACCTGTGATTTAAAGTGCAAATCCTCAACTCAATAAATTAGAAGTCAAGGACAATTTAGTGACACATTTGATCCTAACCATTTATTTTTTATTTTTATTTTTTTTAAATTCGATATATTGGTTGTAAGTGGCTTATGATATTAAGGCTTTGATTGATTGATTGATTGGTTGTAAGTGGCTATTAATAAAGTAATTCTAATTAAGACTTTTTTGCCCAATGCCTAAAGTGATTTCTAGGACACTTTATTCCATATTAGATTCATGGGCTGTAAGTGTTGCTTTATTTTATAAAATTCTAGGGCTTCTCCAATCAAACACCTGCTATGGCCAGGCACAAATAATAATAATGTCGATGACCACAACTTTCTAATGTGACACAGATGGTGCAATACTGCAAGTCTGCAATGTTACTTCTTTAAGTTTGTGTTTGAACAGCAGCTGTCATAGGGAAGGGGAAGGGAGAAAAGGGGAGGAAATAGCTGGTAGCATTAGTTGCAACTTTGTTATATATACAAACTTTAAGCAGTCTTCATTGGTGTGCTTTTGTTGTATATATTTGATGTAAATGTCATCTGAAGTACACCAACCCAGCTAATCTGATTGCTTTATTTTTGATTTGGCAGGAGGTTGCTCAAGAATGTCAAAATATGAGCTGGGGAACATTCAAACCACTTGTTACAGACGCATTGGTTGCTCATTTACAACCCATTCAGGTTAGTGAAGTCAAAATTATTTCCTTGTAAGAATAATTGGACGATATAGCAAGCTTGATGGGAGCTCTTTTTTTTTTTTTTTTTTATCTTCTAGTTTCTGTTGTGTTCTCTATTCTTTCTTTGTTATCATGCTATAGTTTTGGCAGGTAAATGATCAAGCAGAAACTATCAGTGAAAACACTATTGCTTATTTATAAATTCCTCTTTGTGTCATTGTGTTGTGTGTGTGTGTGGTTTTTGGGGGTGGGGGTGGGGGTGGGGTGACTCAACAAAGAAGGAAGGGTGTGCCAAGACAGAGAAATAATCGAATCTAGTATGATTTGAATGGTTGTTCCAATCGGTTATGATACTTAAAATTTTGCTTGGATGTTTTGTTGGACAGTATGTGTTTATGAAGCCTTCATCATAAGGACTCATTTGCTTGTCACCATTCTTACCAGGCACGTTATGAGGAAATCATGTCTGAGCCTAGTTATTTGGATGGAGTTCTAGCAGAGGGTGCAGCTAAAGCTACGGATATAGCAGATAGTACTCTTAATAATGTCTACCAGGCGATGGGGTTTCTTCGAAGATGAGCTTAATTGGTGGTGCATGCAATTTTTTCATGCAGCCTTTTCCAAGGACATACTATGTAATTGTAAATCAAATTTACTTGTTCTGGAACATTCATTAGCCTTTTATTTTTTGCTATCCCCATTAGCTTCTTTTTAGGAAGGCAAAATTGCACTGAGTAGGAAATAGGAACTGGACTCATATTCAGCCTCCGGCGCATTCATTCTTTTTACAACATTATAGAATTTAGAATTTTAATAATTTATACATACAGCTTGAAGTGATGAGACTCTTGCAATGTACATCTAATTTGAAATATGTTTAAATTTTAATTTAATGATGCTGAGAAAGAGTAAGTATAACTTGTGGTATAGAACTTATGGAGCACATACGATGAACATTACAATGGAGTGACTTGTTTCTACTCCCCTACTTTCAGAATCAGTTGTGACATTTTCTTAAAGTCTTGTAACTAAGATATACGACATATGTACTTCGTGACATGAATTTACGAACGTCCTTTGTAATAATTGTATTATTCCTATATCCGTAATTCAAATGCTTATACAAATATCATTCATAAATAACAAATATTTTAGAAAAGGTGACAAGTAATTGGAGTTTATGAATTTAGACTTTGTTGATGGAGGGAACACTTTCTTGTTTTACGGATGAATGTAGACTTCTCTTCATTGACTAGATGTATAAACATGCTAGATCAGAACAAGTTAGTCTCGCTCTTGCAAGTTCCATACCGTGTTCAACGAAATCAACTCATAGTTTAGTTTCTCAATAATATCCTGTTCAAAGATGCATTTCTAGCTTGAGCATTCTGCATCATATAGCCCCACCTGAATGTACATGCATTTCTGCTGGCAAACTTTAGCTTTCCATAATGATTTCTGTAAGAGAAGGCAAAGGTGAAATGTCGCAGTTTATCACAGCGGTTGATATTTGCTTCCTGACAGACCTTTCATCAGCCAAGGATCTTCAGGGCTGTCCTACTAGAAATCATGTATTTATCATGTCATCACAATGTGCCTCTTCAATTGATATTTCTCTCACCAATCATCTAAGCTGAAGTTTTCCATTTGAGAGCACAGTCCATACAATGGTCAACCATGAGGCAGAACACATACTTCGACAATCAAAGACATGATCACCACCCTACCCAAGGAATTGAAGATGAGAAACTCCAACTTCATTGTTGTGATTTGTGAATGTCATATGCAAATTTTGCACACAGCCCACACAACCCATACATGCCACCCTATTAGTCCTGAAAAGAGAACAAATTGATTAGATAAACCCCCATAAAAGTTCACATGGTAGAGGTTTCAGATTAGTTCTGCTTGTCTAACTTTGCATGGATGCTCCTTTCTGTTTATTATTCACTGTCCTGTTTCTTAATCTTGAACATCCTCTTGCAAGGCAAAGCCCTGTAGAGTGTAGGCACGTACTTCAAGTTTCTGGAAGACGCAGCAAAACAGTGATTCGGATTGCAAATATTCCTTACTGCATGTAAGACTCAACCATTATTAAGGAACAAATAATCTTCTTTCTGTAAACAATCTATTGACTGGTTTGAGCATACATCTTCTTCCAGATTTGTAATGACAAATATATCCTTCAATAATTTGTATAGCTCCATGGATCGAGGATGAGAATCATCTGCAGCTGAAAATTCATGGAAGTCACCGTCCACCTCTATGAAGCTATGTCCCGGAGTCTTCCTAATACCTTTTTCTCTCATCATACTTCTAACATTCCTTACCTCACCCCATCTTTTCTCCCTAGCACATAGATTTGCTAATAGTACATACGTACCACTATCTTCTGGATTTAGATCTATCAACTTGTCAGCTGCAAATGTGCCAAGATCAGCATATCCATGCATCCTACATGCATTCAGCAAAGCACCCCATGCAGCTTCATCGGGTTCCATAGGCATTTTTCTGATCATGTCATAGGCTTCTCCTATCAATCCAACACGGCCAAGTAAATCAATCATGCAGGCATAGTGTTCTGCTTTAGGCTCCAATCTAAATTGGTGCTGCATGCCAGCAAAGTGCTCCCGCCCTTCGGCAACTAAACCAGCATGACTACAAGCTGATAGAATGCCGATAAAAGTAATATGATCAGGCTTAATACCCTGATCTTTCATTCTCTCGAAGAGGATTAGAGCCATATTGGCATTCCCATGATCTGCATACCCAATAATCAAGGAGTTCCATGATATCAAGTCTCTCTTTGGCATCTCATCAAAGAGTTCCTCGGCCATATCAATCCTACCACACTTCGCATACATGTCTATCAACGCGTTTCCCACAGATGCACCAAATTCAATTCGCTTCTGGTGTATATAATGGTGATGAATCCATTGCCCCAAATCCAGGCAGCCTGATTGAGCACAAGCAGAAAGTACAGGCACCAAAGTAGCCTCCTCAATGGGAACCAAACCTCCCTTCACCATACCTTGAAACAAATCCAAGGCATCCTCCGGCTTATTATTCTGAGAATACCCAGCAATCATTGCATTCCAAGACACCGCATTTTTCACAGGCATTTCATCAAAATACTTCCTAGCCATATCTAATTCACTATGTTTTGCAAAACCATTTACCATACTAGTCCATGAGAATACATCCCTACACTCCATCTCTTCAAAAAGTCTTCTCGCAGTCATTAAACAACCACACTTAACATACATATCTAACAAGGCATTCATCAGATTCAAAGTATACCTCACATTATATTTCTCTATATAACAGTGCATCCTCCTTCCCAACTCCAAATCCCCCTTAAGAGCACACGCCGAGAGCAGTGTGATCATAGTAACTTCATTAGGCACTGTCTCACCACCACACACCATCAAATCAAAAACCCTCAAAGCTTCATCAGGAGAATCTCTCTGCACATAACCATCAATCATCGCGGTCCAAGTCACGACATCTTTCATAGGACATTCATCAAACACTTGGCGTGCACAACTCAAAAACCCACCATCAGCATAAAAATGAAGCAACCCATTTTGCACCAACACACTTGATTCAAAACCCACTTTACAAATGCTACAATGAACTGCCCTACCCTCTCGAAAACCCGAAAACAGTCCGAAAGCCTTAAGCGCGAAAACAAAGCTTCTCCCATCCATTTCAACCCCATCTCTAACCATTTTGCGAAAAATTGAAAGACCAATTAAAGGTTTCTTAGCTCTAGAATAACCTCTAATCATGGTATTCCATATATAAACATTTGGATTTGGAATATGATCAAAAATCAAACGAGCATAATTCATGTCACCATTATTAGAAAGAGCACAAAAAGCGATGATTCTACTTACAGGAAAGACATGAAAGATTAGACCTTTGCGCATCATTTGAGCTTGAATTTGCTTGAGTTCTGCCATGGAGGAGCATTTTTCCATTGAAATGAGAATTGGGTTTGTAATGTTGACGTTGCTGGTGCTTGTATTCCATCTGGGTAAAGTGGAAAATAGTTGGATTTTAGGAGAAAGAAAATGAGGGGAAATGAAGCAAGAACTTAGCAGCAGAGGAATAGCACCCAAATTTCTCATGTGATGGGAATCAGTATGCTGTATTCAAGATTGCAACTTTGCAAGAAATTCACTCGTTCAATGAATTAAAAGTTTCTTCTCTCTTCTTCATCATATTTGAAACTATTTCAATTTTTTTTTCAAAATTAGATTAGTTAAGGTAATGAGTTCTTTCAAAAAAAAAAAGTTGAGGTAATGAGAACATTATTGTATCATGGAAGGCCTTTTTGGAAGAAGGAATTTGGATGGAAAAGAAAAGAAAGGAAATGAATTTTATCATATTCCATGTTTGGTTGAATAAATGATATAAGAATTCAAAGGAAAGGAAGGGTAGTGGAAGGAAAGTCCATTTATAATTTTTTAGCTTTTATTTCCTCCCAAAATTGAAGGAATTCGACTAGAAAGAGAAAGATAAAAGTTAATACATTACGAATTTCCTTTCTCTTCCCTTCATTTCCTTTCATCAACCAAATATTGGAAAATAAAATCATCTTTCCCTTCCCTTCTTTTCTCTTCTTTTCCTATACTAATATTGAATCAAACAAAGCCTGAATGTACTGTGTGCCTGGAAGAAATGGAGCACTTATTAAAAGTCGCAAAGAGTATCATCAACAAAAAAAAAAAAAAAAATATCCTGTTACAAAATAAATGCCCCAATTTGACCAATATATTTGTCAATGAGAAACTTTGATCATTAATATTATATTACGGAGTATTCTATTACGAAATAATAAGTATAAATTACAAAGTATAAAATTTGATATTTGAAAATTAGATTTGAGACGATTTTAACAAGTATTCACATAGATTATATTTAGCTTATCTGCTTATGTAACCAATGTTGGTCAAAATAGGGTTGGAGACTGGGAGGGAATAGTTCATGAAAATATTGTTACTCGGGATATCATCAAACCTTAAACTTACTCCATAGCTTAATTTGTTATCAGGAAGGTAAACTCAACTCACCCTTTGGATAGAGTTTGCTTATTTATTTATTTATTTTTTAATATGGTATTTAATATAGCTTAATTTGTTATTGAGAAGGTAAACTCAACTCACCCTTTGGATAGAGTTTGTTTTTTTTTTTGTTTTTTATTTAACAATATGGTATGGTTATATGGGCCTTGCCGAAAACTCGTATCACATGACACCTGGCTGGCCTAGGAGTAAAAGAAGAGGATTTGTTCATGATGAGGATAGAACCTTGCACTCCAAGGATGCAAAGGCGACCCTTGAGCCACTGCACCTGAAGGTCCTCGGGTAGAGTTTGCTAATTGAACTTGGGTTGGAGCACCATATTACATAAACAGGCCCATTAAAACCCCAGAAGAACACACAAACCCAAACAGCTATAACCAGCAAATTCAAGCACAAACCATCGATAGGTTTTAGCAGTGAGGTGAGAGAAAGTGTGCTGTAATACTGCAGGCAAACTAAGATCAATTACAATGCAGAGATGGTGTTCCAAGCTTCGAACTTTGGCTAATCTCCCAACAACAATTAGAGCTTCATCTTCTTCTTCTCTTTCAATTCATCGCTTTTACTACCAGTCTTCCTCTAATTTTCAGCGCCCATTTTCACCATTTTCAACAATTTCTTCCCAATTACACTCCCATTTCAATGCTTCTGCTTATCTGCCGCTTCCTACAAATGGGGTTTCCTTTTTACTCTCTCCTCCTCCAGTAAGTTTTCTTTTCGTTTTTTTTTTGGGGTTAATTTGTTGATTTTGGGGAAGTTATGATTTTTAAATGTTGGGTTTTTATTTAATGTTTTATTTATGAATCTGCGTTGATGAATGATAGGAAATCTAATGTGGGGTTTTTGCAATTTTGATGTAAGACTAATTTTTGAGATGATTGATTGTAAATTGAGGGAAAACACATGAAATTTGATGAGGGTTTTCTTTTAGATTGGTTTGTGTTTATGAATGTTTAATTTTACATTTGAGAATCTTCTGGTTTTATTTATGCTTTCTTCTTAATGGATGAGTATTTGATTTGAGTTTTTTTTTGTATGTAATATTATGTGGATTATAGTATGTGCAAGTGAGGAGTTTTTCGGCTAAATCCAAGGAGAAGAAGTGGAAGAAGCTTACACCAGCTACTTCAAGAGTCAAGAAGATCAAAATTAAGGGTTATTCGTAGGTTAACCTTGTCTAGTGTTCTTTATTGTTTTCCTTTTGTGGACAATATGTTTAGATTATTGCAATGATAAATGGTCTTGATTTGTCTCGATTAGGTCTTTCAAGAGAAGATTCAAGACTTTGAATGACGGGACAATTAGGCGATGGAGGGAAGGCAAGCGGCATAATGCACATTTGAAGGTATGGCTGTACCCTTATGGGTGGTTATTTGGTTAAGCTATTAACTTCAGCTTATATGCATAAGAAAATGAGCTTGATAATAGTGTGATGCAGCTCTATCTAATATATGCTTCCCTGACTATGGGTTGTTCACAATTCGTAAAAATTTGTCGTCTATTTTTTTATGCTTGACAATTGTTGCTGAAAACTGGTGTTGCTAGGCTTTTTTCATGGATTGAATAGAATTGTCAGCCGGCCCATAGAGAACAAGGTAGACTATAGAGAATTGTAGCCATTGAAATGATATAGTAAATGTTTAGATTCGAATCCTTAGAAGTGTAATAAACATGGTGTTTAGAATAGAGGATGTAGAAGTGCAGTTGTTGTAGCCTTGTAAAGAAGAGACTTCTTGAGTATAGGTAAGGCTCATAGATGATTCTAGTTATGTCTTGCACATAATGGACTGTATTCTAAAGCTACAATAGGTTTGCCAATGTTTTTTTTTTTTTTAATTTTTTTTTTTTTTATAATAGCGATTGTGTAGGGAGTTGTGAATTGTGATCCAAGACTATTTAAGCCAGCCCTCGTACCTAGGGTTTAAGCTTGTCATTTGAACTTGATATATCTGCAAATGGACACAAATCAGTTGGTCCCAGTGTTATATACCAAGAACAAGTACTAGAAACATAGATAGGGGACGATTGACTTTAGTGGTTTCTTGTTGCCTGCTGTAAGATGCTCTTCCCAGGAAAAATATGATTTCAATGAAGTTCTATTTCCTAGCAAGTGTAAACAATTGTTTGGTTGATTGTAGGAAGTAAGGCCTTCCCAAGAACTTCTAAGAACTGATAGTTCTTGTGTTATGTCAACCAACTTAGAGTTTTCCACTTCTTAGGAACTTTTACTTTCTGATTTATATTTTTTGTCAACCAAAACAAGCACAGATTATATCACTGGTTAATACATGTGTTGCAGTGTATGGATATGTGAGGGAGGAAAGAGAAGTGGAGTGATTTTTAAAAGGTGATTTTGTGTTAACACTTTGTCAATGGCTCAATTGCTACTTACTGACAGGGAAAGCATCTGTTTGCACAATTATTTAATTTAAAAGTATAATGGACAAGTATCAGATAACTGAACCAACATGGTTAACCTATGAAAGGGGTCTTAAAAATATTTAGAAGATTATTTTTGCAGTGCCATTTTAACAAGTCCTCTAATGAACAAGTATCAGATAACTGAACCAACATGGTTAGAACATGGTTTGCACAAAATTATAGAATAAGTATCAGATAACTGAACCAACAATAGTCTCTTTATCCTCTAGTCGATGACAGAGAGTGAAATTCTCAATTTTGATATGTACTCTGTAGCGCACAACCTGTATCTTATTCCTGAACAAGCTCTGCATAGTGCATCTATGTTTCAAGCTAGTCTCTAGCTGGGTACTAAGATTTGTACGTGTGCAGTTCAAGCATGCAAGTCCATGTAAGATCCCCCCCCCCCCCCTCCCCCCTTGTGAGATTTGAAATTGATTGTGTTGGACTCTGCCCTGCTAAGGTTTTGTTTCTCTAAAATGAATGATTTTTCTAGAAAGTCTACTACGTGGGAAAGCCTTGAAACATTATAAATATGCTTTAAGCTGGATCATTCGATTGAGAGTAGCCAATTCTTGATTAGACTATTAGGTTTTAGTTTTTGCAGTTGAATTGTTATTAAAGTCCTACTTTTTGAAGAACGATTTATCAACCCTTGGTCTTGGCAATTGTCATAGAGAAAACTGGGCAGTGTCATAACTGCAATAGTTTGATTGCATTTTCTCTCTCTAATGCTTTTATGACTTCTTTCTTTGGTTCTCATGAGGGTTGTCAACCGTAAAGATGAGCTAAATATTTTGCCTATTTCCTGGTCAGGTTTCTTTTTGCGAATCGACTACTAGGATAGATTATTTTGCTGGTCCACTATCCTTAACAGGCTCTATCTTATGTTATGGATTAAGCCTAGACAGCTAAACTTGGGGTATTACTGCTTGGTTGCTTGGTAGCAAATGGTGGGAAAATTATGAGCTCTTACTTTAGCCCTTTTACCCTCGATCTATCTTTTCTTCTAACCTGGAATGTCGATTAATAAGTTGGAAAACGGAAAAAAAAGAAAAACAAATCCTTTCTCACATCACCACATGCACTTTGGGGCTGGGCCCTAGATTTTCTTACTACTTGTTCATTCTTAATCACATCAACTGTTTTTGCAGTACAATTTTAACAAGTACTCTAATAATTTCTCTTGCCGTTTACTTTCATTATTCCTAGTATTTATAACTAACAAGATTTACTAGGATAGATAGGCTAGAGAGTAAGAGAAAATACGATAATTCTGAAATAATCTGTATTTTATGATCTACTTTGTAGTCATTCACTATTACCTATTCTGCAATTTTTTGAGCTGTTGCATGACTTTCTTAGTAGTTATATAATCTGAATACAAAACATACTTAAATGAGTTCCTTGCTTAATGCAGTCAAAGAAGTCCAAGAGAAGACTCAGAAAACCCGAGATTGTGCCCGCAGCTTATGCAAAAGTCATGAAGAAGCTCAACTTTTGTTCAAATTTCTGAAACAATCAAGTGGAAAAAAGAGTTTTTGTTAACCACTGCCTTCTTTTTTGGCGATGAAGTTCCCCTTCAGGCTTCAAATATTGGATTTTACGCATTTCTTCAATATCCAAGATCCTAGTTACTCTTGTCCCTTAAGAAACCATTTACCTTTACTGCTATCGATTTATGCATGAACTATAAATATTCTAGTAAACCTACATAGAATCTTGGAATGTATTTATGTCTTGTTGCAAATTACAATTCCTACCTAATAAGAACACCTTTTTCCGAGACATTTGTTTGTTGTCTTGAGCTTTTATTTTTTCTTTTTTCAAATTGTTTTATCTTCTTTGGCTCCCCTCATCTCAATCCTCTGACTGAAAATATCATGAATCAAAAATTTAATCGACTCGAAAATGACCCGTATGCCCAACGGGTATGAGCGTACGACTATGACTTTTACCATCAATTATTGCAAGTGTTCAAAGGTATCACTATGATACTATCCACTCTTGCAACTTTTGCAAGTGTACAACCTCACAAAGGTAAAATACGGCCCAAAAAGCCCACTACTTTTTTGGGGATTTGGGCACGAAATATAATGTTAGGGCCCAGCTCAAATTTCTGGTCAGCTCTAAATTAATGGTAGGCTTCAATCCTAATCTTCTATAACTAATACTAAAGTAGCAATCATTGAAATTATTTTATTTTAAAATTAGACACATGTCATGTTGTGATTAAAAATTTTCCCTCCAAAACTATAAATAATATCATCATTTTGTGATTTTTATTTTATTTAATTAAAAATTTTGGTCAGCTACATTATTATTACTATCAAATTCTGAAAAACAGTATATTCTCTTTAACAATAATAATTCAATTTTTCTTCTTCAAGTACCCTTTTTATCATTCAATTTTTCTATGAGCTCAATTTTTTTTTATATGTTTTATTTGTTTTAAAAAAATATTTTATTGTTAGTTTTGGTATGAAAAATATAAACAAACTAGTTTAGGACCCGTGCCATGCACGGTCTATTTAAAAATTATTCAAAAATTAACAAAACATACACATAAAATATAAAGCCCGTGAACAAACAAAAAGTTGACGTAATGTAATGTTGCAATGACCATTTTATTATTGTTAATAATAAAGTATTTATCAAGAAAAAAAATCATTAAAGAAATAAATTAAAACACAAAAACATAGAGAGAAAGAATAATGTTGAATTGCACATGTGTTATCATTTGCTTTGCCTTTTATTTCTTTCATCTCCATTAGTTGTTCTAGAAACATGAACAATTATTATTTAATCAAGGAAGATAGCAATTGAATGAGATCGCCCGTCTACATATGATCACTGCATAAAAAGGGTAAAGATCAGTATATCTTATGTAAAATTACATAATAAAATAATTATAAAATGTACAGTTGAAAAGTTTATTAAAAAAATGATATGTCAAGATTATATAGTATATATGTAATAAAATTATTAAAAGCTATACTAAGTTAAGGTAATAACTTCTCATATAGTATAGATAGGATATACATAAAATAAATTATTAACATATTTATGAGAGATTTTTACGTTATTATATGTGTAAATCTTTGAATTGCTTAAATTATATTTAGGAATGATTGTTATACTAATTTTGCATAGCATGATAATTTACATATTTGGGGATATGTTTACATAATAGTGCATATGTGATCATGATACTTATTTTAAACAAATATCTCAAATTTCTATTATGCGGCATAAAAGTACTAAATGCCTTCTTTCATTAGATTTATGAAGGAACATGCTCTCCATGATATTATTGTATAATAATTTTTCATATTTATGTTGACCAAGAAATAAGTAAGGAAGTAAATTTAAGAAATAAATAAATTAAACTTTAAATTTACACAAAGATAAATTACGTACCTCATTATGCAAATTTTGAAACACCTCTTTGTATACTACATTGTGTGTAGTATGAGATATTTTTCCTTCTTTGTCACATATCAAAACTTTTAGTCCACTTTTCTTTGTGACTTTTGAAACCGCAACATATAGTTGACCATGAATAAATACCGGTCTTGGGAGATATAGGCCAACATGTGAAAGAGATTGAACCTGACTTTTGTTAATAGTCATTGCAAAGCAAACAACTAATGGATATTGCTTCGTTGAAATTTAAAAGGCAATTTTATGTCAGTCGGGGTTAAAAGTATGCGAGGAATAAATACCTTATGTCCAATGTTGTTTCCCAATATGATTTTAGCCTCAATTATATGGTTACCCAGTTGAGTAATCACTAACCTAGTGCCATTACATAGACCATTAGGTTGGTCTATATTTCTAAGTAACATAACTGGAACCCCAATCTTCAGTTTCAGGGTATGATTCGAAAGTCCTGAACATTTGATGCTATTTCAGAAATCCGATGTAAATCTTGATTACCCCTCACATTTCTATCTGATGCACAAATATTATTTGAGCTAAGATAAATTTTCTCTTCCCCGGGAATAATAGACAATAGATGCTCATTAACCACCTCTACACACTCATTTGTTGGCACAAGAATAACTCTCTCTTGAAAGTATTTTGCGTTATCCAAATTATATGATATGAAAGGATACACACTCTCAACAATAGATGCAACTGAACTATTAACTTCATCTTTAATCAATATGTCATCAGGAATTTTTATAATCGCCTCCCCATCATTAGGTTCTCCTTCTTCACCATCTCCAATTCTCAATATCCACTCTGAAAATTCTTTGACCTCATTAAATTCAAATGTGAACTTCCCACTTGAAGTCTCATATTTTGAGTTAATAATAGTACACGACAATAATCCCATATGTATGAAGAGTTGATGGTTGAAAATACAATATCTTATCGACTTCCTTTAGGAATAACCGGTAAAATTTGTCGAAAATCTCCACCAAAAACAACTATCTTGCCACCAAATGGTTGATCCATACTTTTTGGATTAGAAAATCTCATAATATCCCTCAGACTTCTATCTAGAGCTTCAAAACAAAACCTATGAACCATTGGAGCTTCATCCCAAATAATAAGTTTTGTCTTGATTAAAAGATTGGCCAACGGGGATCTCTGTTTAATTTCACAAGTTGTATTTTCAGTTACAATTATTGGAATTGCAAATCTAGAATGAGCAGTTCTACCTCTGGGAAGAAGAAGAGATGCAATTCCACTTGATGCAACATTAAGTACAATTTTGCCCTGACATCGTATAGCAGCAGAAAGTGTTTTCCACATGAAGGTTTTTCTTGTGCCACCATAGCCGTAAAGGAAGAAAAACACCTCCTTCATCTCCAGCAAGAGCATTCATTATTTCATCATACACCCCTTTTTGTTCATCAGTTAGACATGAAAATAGTCTTTTATGCTCTAAATCCATGGACGTTCTATCGTAACAAATTCTTCTTGAATAAGCTTATTAAGCCCATGAGAAACCAAATCATGATCTGGCAATGGCATCGGAGAAAATTGTGAAAGACTACGACCGTTACTTTGCAATAAATTCTCTATATGTGTCAAAGTGTGGTCCTTCAATTGCTCTTCACTTAACATCAAGTCTAACAAAAGTAAATTGTAATATTAGCACGGGCTGACTTTATTTGCATGCATAAAATAATTGAAGTTTTAAAAAGTAAACATGTTTGCTTACACAAAACTTATTACAGTAGCCTAGTGATATTTGAGCATAATGTTTTAATCTATTGGTAATTCAAAAAAAAAAAAAAAAATAAATAAATAAATAAATAAAAATCCACCTGGATACATGTGAAATATCATAATGGTTTAATCTATTGGTAATTCACAAAAAAAAAAAAAAAAAATAAATAAAAATAAAAATAAATAAATAAATAAAAATCCACCTGGATACATGTGAAATATCATAATGGTTTAATCTATTGGTAATTCACAAAAAATCACGTGTCCTTTATTCATGCATACATTATGTTAAGAATTGCTTATTGAATATTGCAAAAAGGATTTTTTTTTTATACTCACCAATTTTATATAGAATAATTATATGATTCTTTTTCCATATGGCCAAAGAATAATCTTTATGTATTACATCCTTAACTTAAACGTGAAATATTTGTATCTCTTGTAAATCATATATATCTAACTAATATATATTGGACTAATGAAATAAGCAAAATTTAATAACATTATTAAACAAAACCAAACAACTTAAAAACATTGGACTAATGTCGTACCAGGAATTTGAAGAATACTTCTTTGTCTAAAGTACATCATCTGCAAGGAATTTCCATATTTGCTCCCACACAAATTCGGGTCTTGACAAACTTCCTGATATTAATAAAGTCACAAATAGGGTTCTTAAATATTGTGCTGATCCCCAAAAGCTTGCTTCAGTTATACCATCAATGTATTCCTATTTATCGTCTAGTAGTCCAAGAGCATAGCAAGCTTCTTTGAATGTTGAGTACAATACACCATTGACAGATCTAATATATTCATAACATGTTGGACCTTTAACTATATTCAACAAAGAACTGATGAGGTAGTATAGCTCTCCACTTCCGGGAGGAACATAATAAATTCTTCCAATAGAAAATCTTTGATCCCTTTCCCTCCATTCCTTCCTTCCCTTTTGGTGCCACACAAATTCTGTAGGGAACTCACAATAAGTTAAATTTCTTACTTTCTGAGACTTTTTTTATTGCAATCCATCCATTTTAAAAACATTGAACTATTGATCCCCGACTTGTTTATGACGTCTTCAAGTGGCTCGTCAAATACAATACTTTGTTCATCGGGGAGATGAAAACTCAATCTTTCAACTGATGGAGTTCTATAATGAATATTGTTTGGGGTAAAAATACCCTAAACACGTGGCCCAATGGCCTAGTGACACGTGGCACCCAGCCGTTGGTCAGCAGGGCTCCAATCCTCTGCTGACACGTGTCCTCTAAACCCTAAAAGGGGAATCATCCCTTCCCCACTATAAATAGTGGAAGGACCCTCATTAATGGGGGCGGGAACATTTATTACTCACATTGAATACTCCTCATAAAAACAAACACCTACCCCGAGCAATATCAATTGCGGAATTCTCCCATTACGCGAGAAGTAACTTCAACATTACGTGCATTCTACCTCCCGTATCTTTACTAACTTGATCGTCGGAGGCGGAGCTCCTACCCCCAGGAGTCTTCGTGATTTTGCAGGCACAGGCGTCGAAGGGCATTCTTGGAATTGTAACTCTCCCGCAGGACACATCAAAAAACCCCGAAACATTTGGCGCCGT